TCTCCCATGGGAAGGCAGCACTCTCCCTTCACAGCTGGAGACAGCAGGCAGTCTGCCTCCTGAAATCTGGAATCACACAGATTCTGGCAGCAACAAGCACCTGAACAGAACAGCTAGCTACACACAGCCCAGCTCACAGCCAACCCTGGAACCTCACAGTCAGAGTTCCCACCACCAGGGAGCTAGTGATGCTGTAGGGACATCACCGGGTTTCTCCCTGTCCAGGTACCTCCAGCATCCATCCCTGCACTGCAACACTGCTGTAGGACTGAACTCAAGTGCAGATGGTTTGCATCTGCTGAGCTTAGCTGCTGGCATAATTGAAAGCTGTGTCCATAGCTGAAGGTGTCAGAAAACATTTATCAGCACAGACTGATCTTGCAGTGCCCGGGGACCTCCTGAGAGCAGCTCCTGTCTGCGCACCGCTCCCACACCTCACCTGCCCCTCACTGCCCTTCACTATGGGGCAGCTGGAGCTGCCAGCACAATGCCCATTTCCTTACTGGGAGGATGCTGCACGTTCCTCACAAGGTGTTGAAGTGAAAAAAATGCAGCTGCATCTGAGACCTTATTGCTGAAGAGAATGAACTACGTTAAGGTGTAGTCTGTGCTTGAGCATTCATGGTAAAAAATCATTTATACTGACATGCAAATTTAGCTAAATTTTGATTCTCTCCCCTATCTCTTGGCTTGCACCATTTCCCTCAGGTGGTAAAGTGCTCTTTGCCAGTAATTCTTTATAAATGCCCCAGCCATTCCCACTAACTGCAGCAGGTCTCCACTGCACTGCCCAAAATATGCCCAAATCTCTCTCCTCTCCAACTCACCAAAACCATTTTTTGAACCACTCTGAGAACTTAATCACATTTCACTATTCTGGTTGTAATCAGTGTGCATGCTTCACACAGTATCTGCTTTCTATGCGGGTAGTGAACATATGACCATCTATTTAACATAAGAGGACAATGATAGCTGAATGCTGTTGTAGAGTAAATCATATATGACTGTTCGTGGAAAATATGCAGATAGTTAATTTTTCTTGGGCTATTTTTTGAGGTTTGTGGTGGTTTGGGTTATGTTTCAGCCTATGCAGAATTCAAGCAGCACGCTCAGTTCTCTTCACCTCGTACCTACGTGCCTTCCCCTTAATGAAACTTCACTCAGCTGCCGCTCTGTATCACCACGAGCTTCTCCCATCAAATCAGAACCACTTTAATGAGAAAGCAATAGCTCCAGGTCAACCTTTCTGACAAACAGAGCCTTAAAATACTTTTCACTCTTTTGTGCAAGATGATGGAAAACACAAGAAATTCACAGGGGTATGAAGCCTGAAAAACTCAAGCTTACATACCTGGTGGTCTTCTGAAAGATAAAAAGAAAAATCAGATAAAATAAAGGCCATCCTAAAACATGAAAGGGCATGATTCATCACGCGGTTACATAAGGTAATGGTGCCATGACACTGTTTAGGTCGCCTCACAGCAGTGTGACTCTGGTGTAAGATGGGATAAATCCAGCCCTGTGCTTTCATTTTCAATGGATGCCCAAATACCAAACAGCAGGAAGAGCTCCAGCTTCAATCGCTCCAACCATGTCCCAGCAAGGAAAATCCTGAGGGTGGATTCAGCCTGGGAGACACAGACACTCAACCCTCCTTGAGTTGAATAAGAAACCAGATAGAGAAAAACATCACAGATGTGCTATTCTATCAACCAGCCCCACTCCTCCCAGGGGGTGAACAGTCATAGCCAAGGGCTCTTCCCTTCTCTGTACTCCAGAACTTGCAGTGTATCTCTGCTACAAATGTAGATAATTGTACTTGTATTTAATATTAATATATTTTCCTTTTTTTTTCTTTTTTTTCTTTTTTCTTTTCTTTTTTGCTTAGCTGAGTTGCTGCCTTGTCCCTGAGGAGCTTTTATCATTACATTAAAGATATTATTTTTGCTCTAACTGACAGACACCGCAAACTATCTATAAAGCCAGCTACAGATATCTGCTCTCTGCAGATTCATTATACTTCACTGATCCCCTCATGGAGCAAATTCCCCTCATTTTGGAGTATAGTCACTGGATCAGAAGCAACCATACTGCAGCCTCCTCCGAGGTCAGCTCCCTGAATCATGTCCTGCTGGGGAAAGGGGTGAGGCCAAAGGCAGAGCTCAACAAATTGGCAAAATGCATCCGCAGATATCCTCCATCTGCCAGCAACTGTAGCACATTGTGGCTAGGAAGTATTTTCTACATATGTTAGAGACTTCAAATCAACTAATTTGATTCAGAAATGTTTCAGGCTGAAAGGCACCACTGCACAGACAGCAGCACGGGGCAAGGAACAGGGATGGCACAGCAGTAGGGTGCTTTTCTAATCATTTCCCAAATGAATCTGTAACCTTTGGCGATGCAATCTGAAGGAAATGGTGCAGACACAAACACAAACAAACCTCTGGGATCACAATAAAAGTGGAGGCACGTCATCATGACGTAGACCAAGATATTCTCTCTCCCTGTTTAACTGTATCATCAACACTCATTACATTTCTCTCTGAAAATGGTGCAACTATCTGTTGTCATTATCTACTATTTCAGTACATTTCTATTTTCCCCCTTGTTCTTGCTTTGAGAGTTTGTCAGTGCATTACGGGCCTTTAGCTGCCAATCAATCCCATGTTGCCATTTTTCTGCTCCTGACAGATCCTGCTCAGGAACACCTCCCTGCAGGGGCTTGGAAAGCCTCGGGATGTGTAGATGGATGTCATTTACTTGAGCTGATCTCTTCCTCGAGCTCCCTGTTGGCATCCCTTGAACAGGTGAGCATTCAGCTGGTATAAATCAGCTGTGCTCTCCTGGGACTCACTTACATCAACCACAAATCCAGTCCAAAATACAGAGCTAATTTCTCATGTATCAGGCTGTCAGGCTGTATCCCTTGCTGAAAGGATGATTATCAGCAAAAGATGAGCTAGAAACACTTAAAAAGTGGTGCTGGAGCTATAATCCTAAAGCTGTTGACATAGCAGGTGAAGCCTATCAGGCTAAAAATTTAAGAACAAATAGAAGAAAATACAGCTGCCCAATAAATAACAAGACTGACTATTGTTACTAAGGGAAAAACAGGGATGTCACTCACTACTTTTACAATAACAATAATGTATTAAGTTCACAGACATGAAAGGATTCAAAGATGATACTATGCATGGTAACACACGAGACCACATAAAGAACTCTCTTTAATCAGCGCTAACAAAACCAAAAAATGACAACCAAAATGAATCTCCGAGCTCTGCCTGCAGTGCCTAGGTACCTGTCAGGCTAAAAGCTGGACTTCCCCGAATTAAGTCATCAGTTCAACAAGGATCTGAACAGTGCTCTCAGACATGTGGTCTGAGTTTGGGGTGGTCCTTTGTGGAGCCGGGAGTTGGATTGAATGATTTTTACGGGTCCCTTCTAACTCAGGATATTCTATGATTCTCAGTCTTACATTCTGTTACAGCCTCCTCACATTGGGGAATACTGGAAGTGACGATCCCTTTGGCTTTGTGTCCCCGCTGTAGCTCTGAATCTGTCTACATCCCATTTTCTCCAACTTTGCAAAAAATTACTGCACCTTTGCAAAAATAGATCTGACTCTTCCAACATGCACCTTGCAGCGAAAGAACCGATCTACTCCAGCCAGCACGTCTCCTGCGCGCAATGATGGAATTTCACTTTATTGCACAAATTGCTCTGTCCTACCCCAACACATGACTCAAGAACTGACACTGACAGAGGCAGAGCGGTGCCGGCAGAATCCTGCATGGCTCAGTGCTGTCGGTGAGTGGGCAGCCAGCAGATGCCAATGCCAATGAACACTCACGGTGCAGTTGAAGGTACATGAGCAGTGCAAATGTAAATGGCACTGCTTTACAGGATGGTGCAGGATTAAGGGGGCTTTGCATGATCTGGCTGTGTGGCCACAGCCCTGCAAACAGATCAGTGGATTAGCAACCCTGAGCAAACAGCCAGAACAGAAAGAGAAGTGGAGTTTGATGCCGCTCACTGCGGTCTTACTTTCTCCCAAAGCATACCCAGCTCTAATTTACTTTTGCTCTTGCAGAAAAAATAGGCAAAGTTCACCCTGTATCCCAGCTGTCAGGATTGCAAAACAAATGGGAGATGTGAGTAAGTTTATTTAATTGTTACCAGTATTAAAGGCATCTTAAGGGAATCATTCTTAACAGAGAATAATTTGTAATAGATAATAAATTACATTTTCCTCTCATTTCTTCCTTGGGAAAAATCTATTAAGACTCTATAATTAAAACTCCTGAACATAATTCAACTATATGTTTTTAATTGAAAAATGTCTGTTTCAGAAAGTCCTTTCTTCTTTCTTTTTCTTTTTTTTTTTTTCATGAAAACAGCATTCGCTCTCTTGAGAAATGCCACAGAAAATTATTAGTTGACATTCGTCACCAAAACCTCCAAACGAAACGTTCCTTTACTCACGCAGCATCTTGAAGATTTTGGCACCCAATCCCATTTCTACTTGAACATCCTAGCCAAACAAAAAAATGACTTTCTCTAATCCCTTTTAATAACAGCAATGGAGATGATACGGGAAGATACAAAGCGTGCTCAGGCAGGCGTGTGATTCACCACGCTGTCCTTTTTCCTCCCTACGCCGCACAGATTAGCGCAATCAGTCGGCAGTGACCAAGAGAGAGCTTCCTGTCTGGTTTGGTTTTGCGTCTTCTTAATTTTTTTTTTTTTAATTGATTTCACACTTTGGGATCATTAGTTTGCATCCAAGGCGCTGCAGTTTGATTCCATACATTCCTATGTACTCATACTAGAAAAAAAAGAGCAATACACTAAACAAGAACACCACCACTAGACCTAATTCACTGCCAAATTCTGTCTCTGTAGGTTACAACTGGGTTCCTCGAAACAGCAACTTAATCATTTACCGAGATCTTAAGAGAATTTAAGTGAGAAAAAAACGACAAACATGTACTTACTGATGTGTATAGATATCCTTCGCTGTTCATTGCCAGATACAATTTTGTTTGAACCCCCTGAATCGCCACCACTCGTAAACCCACAGGTATGAGGTTAAACAACGCTGGGAGAGAACGGAGATGGAAAGCAAAATTAATCCTTTACAGTATGCAGATTAGATAGAGCATTAAGCCGTAATTACTAGAACCAAATACAAAAAAATCTATTCATGCATATATTAATTTCCGTGGGCGGCATGGAACAATACTGCTAATATCTTTGTCTTGTATAGCAATTTCTAGCAATAGCTCAGAAATTATCTACAGAGGATAATCAACACATCTCCCCCCTTCACCATGAAGGTGGTGGATTGGAGGTGCTGAGAGATGAGCCGACTTACCTGCCTCGTAAGCACAATACAAGGACTGAGCAGAGTTAAACATACCTTTATTTTTGCTTAATGGTGATAAATGTGGAAAAAAAAAAGAAAGAAAAAAAAGAAAACTCCCAAACAAACAAAAAGTTCTGTAAAATGATCAATACTTTTTTTTTTTTTCCAAATCCAGGAAACATTTTTTGACCAAAAAAAGAAGAAATTCAGAAAAGCTAAAACCCCTCATGAGCATCTCAAAGCGTTTCCACTCAGAACTCCTTGGATTTTTTTTTTTTTTTTTTTTTTTTCCTGCTTGTTGAAGAAGAAAATGGATTTGGAAAAGAAAAAAAAAAGAAATGACAAATACACACTAAATGACTTAAAAATGAACTGAACTGACAGCGTATTCTTTAACCAAACCAAAATTTGTGTTTTCAAAATGGAGCTTGCATTTTTACTCACATACATGCTAACAGTGACAGTATATATAAGCAGAGAAAACTCTCTTCAGGAAAATGAAGATACTGTTTTTTAAATGGCAAATTAACAAAACAAAGCTCTGCCATAGCTTACATTTGTGGCCATGTTAAAACTGAAGACAAGTAAGTGAGACGAATACAGTGCTCTGTGTTTGATATGGAGGATCCAGAATTGAGGGGGAGTTCAGAAAATGTTCAATTTATCATTACCCCAGGTGTCTCCTTCCTGCTGTGTAAGGGCAGAGTTAGGGTGAAGCAACGTGAAACGTTTCTAGCCATCTATTCCATGGCTGTAGAACCCCTGTGTGCTTCAGGCTGAAGTTTGGTATTTATGGGCACTGTCTGAAGCCAATTTAAATCTGAATGATGAATTTGAAATACTCTTACTATTTTCAAAAAGAATGACAACCCATTATAAATACCTTTTTCACCCCGATAACACCCAAGTGGTCATATTTAATTAAAAGAAAATTTGCAGCCTGACAGCATTTAATAGAGATCCTAAATTCTGGGAGTGGGGGTGTCAGGAGTGTATCCATCATGGTTTTATGGTTTTTCATCAGTAGAAGTAGCTCAAACCTTCCAAACAGGAAAGTGCACATGGATGCATGTCCTGTGTTGGAGAAGGCATGGCCAAAGGTGATGCTGTGCTCTAGGGATGAAGAACCAATTTTTGGCGAAATCAGACTCTGCTCAATCAGTCAGACAGCTGTACATCCCTGGTACACATAGACACAGGCACCCCTCAAACCAGCCTGCAAGCATAAAACCAATGGAAATAGCTTTCTCATCACTAAAACAAAATCCTCTAATTCTCTGATAGTCTTAGCAAACAAAACATAGACTTTCACTAAGGGAAATGTTCTGTTACAGATTCCTCATTTCTTCTATCGACTGCTTGAATTTTTCTGTGGGAGAAAGTATTCCATCTGATTCAGTGAGTGCTCCCATAGAGAGCCCACTTCTGCAGCTCAGCCCCCAAAAAGCAGCACCTGATCTCCCTGTGGGCAGGAGAGTGCAACTGAAAGCTCTGTATCCAAGCAGAACTTAGAGATCTCTTTTGAAAGATGCTTTTTTTAACAGTGCATTTCGGAGTGGGGCTTTCAGGTACAAGGGTACAAAAATGGGCTCTGCTGCAAATAGTGCTGCCCACAGATGAACTGAGCACAAGTCAAAGCCTAGGACAGTCAGGAAGATGGAGCTCACAGCCACAAGGAACAGAGATTGGTTTTAGTGAGCGATTCCTTGCTGCGCTGTGTTTGGCAAAGTGAGCAGAGACAGGATGCTGGGGAACTCGCTGCGGCGGGTGCTCAGCTGCTCTCCTCCGCAGCTGAACGTGTTTTCCTGCCATAAACGTACAGGCTCTATTTTGAGGAGAGGCAAGCACACTCGGAAGCTGGTTTGTATGTTGGTGGGATTGGCAGCTGACTGTCGGAAGTTGCAAACAGGGCCGTGGGGGAGTGCTGCTGCCTCTGCACCATGGCCACGCTGCACCCTGCTCTGCAAACACCCCCTGCCATGGACAACGGGCATAGATGCTATTGCATTTCTGGTTGACCCCCGAGGCTGGAAAAAACACCATGGAAAAATAGTTTGCTATGACAATCAGTTTGCATTAGCTCAGAACAATGCAGTTATTTGCATCCTCACTTTTCCCCATTATGTTCGCTCTGTGTAAAATAAGGACATAATATCAATCGTAATGAAAAACTTGGAGATGCCCAAGGGAGATATGATCTTTGCTATAGCTGTTGTGTGGTACGTGCTGACAGAGAATTAGAGCTGTAAAATAAAGATGCAGCGGCCACAGCTGGATTTATTAATGTATACAGTGCTGTGAGGTCTGCGCCGTCGCTGTCTCAGCCACCTGGCCTTCCATATGCTGTCCACAAGGCATTGTTTCCTATATTTCCTTATTATTTAAGTCCTCAAATCTCTGTGTCATGCCAAAATTGGGGAATAAATTCCATCTTGATTTAAAACCTTGCCCTATTTAACACGTTTAATGAGGCAGAATCTGGTTCTCAGCCAGGAAATCCTTTCCATGAGGCACTTCCTCAAATTACACGGACTCCTGGCTTAAAATGAAGTCTGGCGAGCTCTACAGTTCCTCACCCCAATGGCTCACTTCCTGCCTGCACTGTGCTCCAAAACCTGAGCTTTCTTTTAAACTCCTCACAGTCATGGATGCAAACTTGTTTTGGTGAAGGACTGCAGAGATTGCAATAATTGCTCCCAAGTCAGAGCCAAAGGGCATCTTCAGGCAAACTTCCCACCAGCTCTGGGTAGCAAATGATGAAGAAGGCAGATCCCAGGGCCCAGGTTGCTGTCAGGAGCCCAAAAAAGAGGATGCAAGCTCTCCTGATCCCTGCAATGAACAGGGAAAGCAAATGCAGACATTTAATAAGGAGATCAGGTAGGCTACCATTCTAGTTTGCTCTATGAGCCCCAGCATTATGCAATCGCTTTGTTGGCAACAGTTGAATCTGAGGATATTCCCCTTATTAAGGGGAGTTTTAATTATCTCACTGCAATGCAAAGCAAATGGTCTTAGAGCAAATGGTTGGTTGGAAGTGGCAAAAGGGACGAGCTACAACATCCCTTGGGGTGTAAAGGAGGACAGAAGAGAGCAGAGAAGGGTTCTTCCTGAACAGGGAAGACCCTGCAGTGCACAGATACGGGGCAAAGGAGAGAGATATCTCTCCACAAATTGGAGGAAAGGATTTTAGTGGGCCTGATCCACCCAGTATTCACATGAGTGAGGCTTTGGGGGAAGGCCATTATATAGGCTCTGTTTCTTAACGTTGATCTCTTTCTCTTGATAATATCATTAACAAAAATGTTGCTATTAAAGTAAATTCAGTACCACGGGAGTTTCAGGTCTATACATTTATCTTACATAAAGGAGGAATATATATGAAACTATTTTTTTTTACGACAAAACCCTCCTGTGTTCTGACCACAGATACATCACTATCATTTCTGACCTACTTTCATTAAATTTAAGCACCAACGTCCAGCAGCCAACATCCAGCAACCAGGAGTTTATACGGTTTGCTTTATAATCTGTCAAGTCATGGTAAATGTAAGGACACAGCAGAAACAAAAATATCTTAGAAATAGATGTGTTGACACAAATGTCAAAAGCACAGGTAGACTCAAAATTTATCTTGCTTAGAGTGTCAGAATCCTCATGAGAGGAGTTCCAAGTGAAGCATTTAAATGAAACAATTCCTTCAAAATTAATATGCAGTTTCAGATGTCTTCTCTGGTACATT